TTTTTCAAGACAGGGTTTCTCTGTACAACCATGGCTGTTCTGAAACACTCTATAGACCAGGGTAGCCTTGAACTCAGAAATCCGCCTACATCTACCCGTCGAGTGCTAGGATTGAAGGCATGTGCCACCACCACGCTGCAAGTTTTATTCTTATTTTATTATTTATACTCTGTAGCCCTTGCTGAAATGTAACTTACTATAGATCAGTTTGGCCTTCAACTCACAAAGACCTGTTAGCCTCTGCCTCCTCAGTGCTGGGACTAAAGCTCTGTAGCACCATGCCCAAATTCTTGTTTTACACCACTGCTTTCTGGTTCTTTGTTTAATAATAAGCATGTGTTACTTTTAGAATATAAAACAGGTTCTTTTTTAGATGCTAACACAGCTATCTGCTATCCAGGCACAAACAGGAATTTCTGATTTTGTTTAATCTCTGTGAGTTCGAAGCCAGCCTTGTCTACAAAGAGAGTTCTAGGACAGCTAGAGCTACCTAGAGAAACCCTGTCTCAAAAAAACAAAAACAAGCAAACAAACAAAAAAAGCTAGAAAGGCTATCCCTTCTCACAATTCAGAAGCCCTCACAATTCATCACACCCTATAAAACTGGGTGCAATGGTACACACCTACAATACCAGCACTAAGAGATGGAGGCAGGAGGATCTGAATTTCAAGGTTATCATTCACTACAGAGCCAGCTGAAGTTGAGACTAGGATACCTGACACACTGCCTAAAAGAAAAAGAAAAAAAATTATATTATATATATGTATACACACACACACACACACACACACACACACACACACACACAGCTAGCAAGTTCTACCTTGCCCATGCCCCCTTCCTCCTGTCCCCTTCAGACTCCAGTGAATGACTCTGGATGGTATTACACCACACCTGATCTGCCACCAGGTGAGGTAATCAGATCCACACATACCATGACACTTTGGGAGAAAGAGGAAGGAGGGACATGACAGCCACCTCTATTATAAATGGGAGTGCTCCCATTAAAAATTCAGACAACCTGCTTAATAATTGAAAAAATGCTACCTTCATAAACAGATTACATAAAAGACACTGGAGCCCAGATCCATGGCTCACACCTGGGATCCCAGCACTTTGAAGATGGAGGTGGATGGATCAGAAGCTCAAGGTCACCCTCCTCATCAGTGAGACCCTGTCTTAAAAAAATTAAATTTAAAAATGAAAATAGGGCAGTGAGATGGTTCAGTAGGTAAAATGCTTTCTGCCAAGCCTGATGACCTGACAACAAATACAGTGGGAGATGACCAAACTCCTGAAGGTTGTCCTCAAACCTCCACACAAGCGCTTGTGTGCCTGTTCATTCACACCTTACATAAATAAATGTTAAAAACAAAAACCAAAACCACTAGCTTAGGTTAGGCATGGAAGCAAGCACCTTTAATCCCAGCACCTGGAAGGCAGAGACAGGTAACTAACTCTCTGTGAGCTCCAGTGCAGTCAAGGCTACACACTGAGACCCTGTGGGGTGGGGCCTTAGTGTTTAGATAAAAACAGAATCATTTGCAGATAAAGATTTACAGCATCAAGCATTAAAGGCAGGTGGTGCTGGTGGTGCCAGCAGTAGCGGCCAATCCCAGCACTGAGAGGCAGAGGCAGAGGCAGGCGAATCTCTGAGTTTAAGGCCAGCCTGGTCTACAGAACCAGTCCCAGGATAGCTAGGGCTACACAGAGAAACCCTGTCTCAAAAAGCAAACAAAACAAAAAGCCTGGATCCAGGGCTTTAAGTTGGTCCATCCCAAAATCTACATCATCTGTAAACCCTTGGGGTCCTGGTCCTACCCATCCAAAGCTGCAGGGTCTCCACGACACTGGAAAACACCTGGACAACTGGGAGTCCCTATAAGGATCCAATATTGATGGTGTCACAGAAGCCAGAGACCTCAACCAAACCAATGACTCACTGCAATGAACATTTGCAAGTGAAGATGTGTGGACAGAGAGATGTACTGTGGGACACACTGTGACACACTGCAGCCTCTATGACAAGATGTTTTTATGCTTTGTTTTATTTGCTGTTGTTGTCTTCGTGTTTTTTATCTTGGTGGGGAGGTTGCAAGGGTGGAGGCAGATACATAGGGCCCCGAAGACAAATGGGACTGGGGGGCATGGTGTGAAACTCACACAGAGAATCAATAAAAAAGGGTTTTTTGTTTTGTTTTGTTTTGTTTAAAGATTACACAGCATCAGCATCAGGACTCTGCTTAGAAAAGGGGAGGGTCTGGAGGGATGGCTCAGTGATTAAGGGCTTGCTGCTTTTCCAGAAACTCGGTTCTATTTCCAGCACCCACATCAGCTAGCTCCCAGCCTCCTATAACCTCCAGCTTGGGTACCTGACCTCTGCAGGCACCTGCATGTACATCTCACACAAACACACATACACATGAATAAGTAATAAACCTTGTAAAAGAAAAGGGAGCGGAGGGACGTTTACAGAGGTGAGTCCTGAAACTGAGACTTGACTGACAGCTTTACAGGCATCACTCACCAGCTCTCTGTCACGTATTTTTCTCATCTTAAAATTTTCAAAACACATATCTTGTGGGAATGTTTTGCTTTTCTCTAAACTTCTGCACTATTGGTTAATAATGTTCCTGCCCTTTGCTCCTCTATTATGTATTCAGAAAGTCTGAGTCAGGAGGGCTATCTACCTCTTACACAAACACAAAGATTAACTTTCATTCCTTTGTGTCTTATCTGCTCCAAAACAGTAAGAAAGCACACAGAAACAAAGAGCTCTCCTGCACAACCCCAGGAGCCACTCTGAGTCTAGGAAGCTAAGCCAACCAACATCATGTCCCCCTGAGTTGCTAAAAAAACAAACAGACCTAGGAGATTTCCCTCTACTCTCCATCCCAACAGATTCTTGGCCAGTGGGGCTTCCCAGAATACAAATTCCACCAAGAATTCTCTCTCCCATTTCAGCCTGCGTTCAAGAATGTGTGGTCCTGGGAGTGGTGACACACACCTATAGTCCCAACACTCTGGAGGCAGACAGGTGGATCTCTGTGAGTTTGAGACCAGCCAGGTTTATATCATGAGTTCCAGGCCGGCCACAATGACACAGTAAGACCTTTTGAGGAGGAGAGTTAACAGGGAGAGGGGAGAGCCAAGTTTTCCCCAAAGTAATCAAGTTGGGGAGGTGATGACCAAAGACATTTCTCAAAGAGAAATGTTATCCAATTCCCTAAATTGAAATTTGGTAGAAATACTTCAAGCCATTACATCTGGAGGCATCTGGAGGTTAAGAGCTAAAAGAAGAAAGAGAATCTCCTGCTCTAGCAGTCAGTGAGGCCTGGGGAAAGCTGTGCGTCCTCTCCTGGCTTCCAGCTTCTTACCTGTAAAGTGCGGGTGAAAACTGCTTGCTAATTACCACCTCAGACAACTTGAGCAATGAGAGAGTGAAAACGTAATAGCAGAGTCATGCCATGGTAAAAAGCAAATGCGGCTCTGGCCTGGCACAGCCTATTCGGTCAGACTGGATCTAGAGGCAAGAAAAAGTTTAAAGAGGAGACACATCACACCAGTAAACAACTTCTCCAGCCCAGGAAAAAGAAGGAAAGTACTCCAAGAACTCAAGCTCTATGGAGAAAGGCCAGCAAGAGGGTTCAATGGTAAGAAGCCTGCAGGAACCTGTCGGGGCCCCGAGGTGTCAAACTCTGCAGGAAACCCTGAGTTAACCAGGGCCCAGTTCTTTCCAGCTGTTCTTCGCGGGGATGCTGCAAATAGAGAGGTTTTAACAGTATGACTAGTAGAAATATATCAATTTTGCCCTTGGTTTTTGGAGACAGCGCCTTGCTATGTATCCAGGTCTGACCTCAATTTTGACATCCTCCAGAGCGCTAGATGCAGGGACTGCAGATGTATGTGCCACCACACCCAGCTTATTTTTATCTCTCTCCTTAAAGACCACTAAGCTCAAACATGCAAATGTACTTGAACACCCACTTAACAAATGTTTGCATGTGTGAAAAAGGAATAACATGAAAATTAACAGATGAAAATGTCAGAGACTTCCAATCAATAAATAAAATAAAGGGACCATGTAACACAAGGGGTGTCTTCTGGGTTACTAGCAAAGCACACGGTCCTGCTGTCATCTTCACCCCAAACAATGAAGTGCTGAAGGGAACAACAAGGACTTGGCCTTGGAGCCAGCTTCCCTGGGAGCTGGCAGCAGATGTGTGGGAGACGCTTGCACTGTGCCTCTGTCACCCTTCAAACGTCTCACCTCCTGTAAGCGTGGAGGCTCTGATGGCTCTGATGCTAGATGTGGCACCTGCCATGGAACTCCTGGGCTCATTCTCTTTGTCTTCTTAGTCCTGGTGCAGAACTCTGTGTGTTCCAGTGAGTGTGTGCAAGCATGCATGCGTGTGTGCCTTCTGAAATGGAGTCTAACTTTGTGGCCCCAGTCATTCTTGAACCCACAATGTAGACTAAGCTGGCCTTGAACTTGCAGCAATTCCTGCCTCAGCCTCCCAAATGCTGGGACTACAAGCATGCACCATTATGCCCAGCTTACGATTTATTTTGTGCTTGTTGAGTTTGCCACTTTACTGTAGAGCAGAAATCCTTTATGTGGTACAAAGGACTGAGCTCCAGGCCATGACCATGAGGCAAATGCTTTTTCCACTCATCCACATCTTCATCCAGAAATGAACATTTTTAATTCCTAAGACTTTCTGGCCTCCAATTACACTATCTCTCAAAACCTTGTACAACAAACAGGCAACACATACAGTAAACTAACTCTACTCAAGAGGCATCTACAAGTCTGGCTTCTGATGTCCTAACATGGGTGGCAGAAGCGAGGCACTGAAAAGGGTTTCCCACTCCCAAATCCAAGAAGTAGCAAGCTAGATGATCAGACACTTGACTCGCAGGCATACTTTTCTCTAAGAAGTTAGAGGGGATTCCGGGAAACTACCTCTCCCGACCAGAAAAGCACTCAGTTTGTTACCTGCTCCGCCCCATACACCGTGGCAAACTGGATGAAATCCTCGATGCGGACGAAGCCATCCCCATCCCTGTCCAGGGCATCGAACACCGTCCTGAGGCGCGCACCCTCTTCCTGGGCTGTCCCGGGCTCGCTGGGCAGCGACAATGCCGGGCCTGGATCCGAGGGTGGCCCGGGACATGCCTGCAGCAGCTCCCCCTCGGCGGGTAAGGGCTCTAGGGGTAGGCCCAGCGTAGGGCGGCAGTCTTCCAGCTCCTCTGGCCAGCTGCACGGGACTTTGGGTTTCTCCTGCTCTTTGAACTGGGGACATGAAATTCTGGGTTCCTCTCGATCCTCCGGCCAGAAGGAGGGTGCATCGGGCTCTTCCTGCCAGCACCGCGTTGTGTTTTGCTCCTCCGGCCAGAGGCACAGCACCTGGGGCTCCTCTGACCAACAGCGAGGTGCGTCGGAGTCCTCTGATTCGTTGACCCAGAAGCACGGTGAGTTCGGTGCATCAGGCTCCTCCGGCTCCTCGGGCGAACAGCGAGATGCATCCGGCTCCTCCGGTTCTTTGACCAAGAGACACGGTACATCGGGTTCCTCCGACCACAGGTGAGGGGCATCAGGATTCTCTGGCTCCTTGGCCAAGAGGCACCCTGTGTCCGCCTCCTGGGGCCAGCAGTGAGGGGTGTCAGGCTCTTCCTGCTCCTCTGCCAAGAGGCTCGGTGCGTCGGATGCCTCCCACTCCTTGGCCAAGAGGTACGGTACGTCGGACTCCTGGAGCCAGCAGCGAGGGGCGTCAGTTTCCTCCAGTTCCTTGGCCAAGTGGCTCGGTGCATCTGGCTCCTGGGGCCAGCAGCGAGGGGCATCAGGTTCTTCCAGCTCCTTGGTCAAGAGGCAGGTTGCGTCTGGCTCCTGGGACCAGCAGAAAGGAGCGTCGAGTTCCACCCGCTGTTCCACCAAGTGGCACGGTACGTCTGGATCGTGAGGCCAGCAGAGAGGGGCATCGGGTTCTTCCAGCTCCTTGGCCAAGACACAGGATGCGTCTGGCTCTTGGGGCCAGCAGCGAGGGGCATCGGGTTCCTCCAGCTCCTTGGTCAAGAGGCAGGTTGCGTCTGGCTCCTGGGGCCAGCAATGAGGGGCGTCGGGTTCCTCCAGCTCCTTAGCCAACTGGCAGGATACGTCGGGCTCCTGGAACCAGCAGAGAGGAGCGTTGGGCTCTTTGGCCCAGCGACTAGGAGCGTCAGGCTCCTCTACCTCTTCGGGCCAGCAGATTGGCGCGTTGGGTACCTCTGACCACGGTTGAAGTTGGGCGTGTTCTTCGGGCTCATCTGAGCAGCCGTTAGGAGCGTCGGGCCCCACCGGCCCCTTGACCCCGCGCTGGGGCCCAGACGCCGGCTTGTCGTGATCCGACTGGGAGATCGGCTGGCTCAGCTCCATGATCCGGCGCCGGCTAAACTAGGGATGATGCGAGAGGCGCGGAAGGCAGACAAAGGCGCTCAGGGCGCGGCGGCGGGCGCGGGCATCCCCGCGGCGACGCGGGCGGGCGCGCGCGGGGCGCCCGGGCTGCTGGGGCTGGCGCTCGGGCCCTGCTCCGCCCTCGCCCATCTTCGCACCGCACCTTAGCGGCTCCCGGCCCCGCAGCGCGGCTGCCACGAGCCCATGGCGATGGCGCGGCCCGGACGATGTAAAGACCCGGCAGCGGGGAGCGGACCGCGGGAGACAGGTACCGGCCGGGCAACAGAGGATGAAGCCTGAGGGCTGGAGCGAAGGGACCCAGTGAGGGACGCCGGCGCCGGCGCCGGACCGCCCTCCGTCGCGCGTGACGTCAGCACGTCCTGTAGCCTGAACACGCCCCCATGGGTTGCTATAAAGGTGGGTTCGAAGCGCGCGCAGTTTTAGCCCCATTCTGATGTTCTCTGTAGTTTACGCGAGCGCGACGAGCGAAGCGTCCTGTCGTAGGAAGAGGCGCCTGAGGATAGGCTTTGGTAAACTCTTGCTGATCAGGAAACCAAACATGCCCATAACCCAGAGAAACCGCTAGTCGCTCCTATTTGACTTCTTCATAACCTGGTGGTACAGACCAAAATACTAAGCCACCCAAGAGCAGGATCTGAGAGCTCACACATTCGTCCACAGGAGCATACAGTGAAGTACAGGGGCACAGATCTTGTTTTTGTTTGACATGTTGTTTGTTGTCTTTTTGAAGCAGGAGCTCGTGCCGCCCAGGCAACTCCTTAACTCCTATCCTCCTGCCTTGGATTACAGGACTGGCCCCACCAACCTTTGCACAGGTTTTAAATTTTGATATCCAGCGCTGACCACCAGTATTGCCAACTAATGCCGCTGCCATCATCAGAGGGTCACGGGCAGGGATGCAGAGCAGTTGGAAGCAGATGAGGTGCATCCGGGCAAGAACTAAGTTTAGCCCTCAGGGAAAAGTATGAACCGATTTTTACATTCGTGGGCACCTCAGGTAAGTATGGTGCAGTTTTGACAAAAGCTAAAAACTGACTGTTTCCAGGTGTACAACCGGCTCTTCTACTGAGTCATCCCCCGTGGCAAAATTCCCAGCACATAATAGGAGGCTTTGTGCAGCTGGCTGTGGGAAAAGGAAGGTGATGTGGTCCCCTCCCCAAACCGTGGTCACATTTTCTTGTAAGAACCGTATGCTTTTTTGAGGAAAATAAACTGGAAGAAGAAAGTCACTTCCATCTAATGCACGGACTGGAAATTGCCTTTGGCCAGCTAACATTCTCAGAGGAGGTTACAGTGAGGGTCAGCCTTTCTATTTAGGGATGTCATGGTAGGTGTCCACCTGTCCTTTGGTATTCTCAGTCAGACCAGAAGGCTGGTTGTCCGAGGAGCAGGTGTTGCTGTTGTGTGCCAATGCTCAGAACAATATTTATGGCTTCCGTGGTTTGTGTGCCCAAATAGAACAACAGCATGGAGAATGCATGCCTTCCTGCGTGGACCAAGTAACGGGCTGTTTATGAAAGGTAGTTCAGTCAAAAAAGCTACTGCCCTGCGATTATGAGAACCTGAGTTCAGATCCCAGCACCCATCTGAAAAACTGAGTGTATGCCTATGATCCCAGCACTAAGGGGGCAGATACAGGAGGCTCTCCATGGCATGCTAACCAGCCAACCTGAATGAATTGTGAGCTCCAAGTTCAGTGAAAAACTGTCTCAAAAAATAAGGTAGCGAGCTGGAGAGATGACCCAGTGATTAAGAACACTGTCTTTTCTTCCCAAGGACCCAGGTTCCATTCCTAGCACCCATAAGGCAGCTCATAACCATGTGTAACTCCAATTCCAGGATGCCCTCTATTGGCCTACTCAAGTACCAGGCACACACATGTACACCAATACATATACAGGCAAACACTCCTTTACCCAAAATAAAAATTTAAATGTCTAAAATTAAATAAAAAATAAGAAAGGAGAAATGGCTCAGTAGTTAAGAGCAATTGCTGTGCAATCATAGGGACCAAGTTCAAATCCCAATACAAATGTTAAAGTTAAGTGTGGTCCTGTGCCCTTCTGTCACCCCAGCCCTCAAAGGTGTAGAGACAGAAGGATTGCTGGGGTTAGGTAGCTGTCAGCTTCATTGAAAAATTACATCTCTAACTTCATTGAGAGATCCTGCCAAAGAACCAAGGTAGAAAATAATAGAAAAGATACCTGGCACCTTCTTCTGGCCTAAATGCACACACACACACACACACACACACACACACACACACCCCTGTCCACACATGTGCGCATATACCATACACATCTCACACATATACGTATATGTACATACACACACAAAAGGTGGAGAGTGATTGAGGAAGACACTAGACACTTTGAAGATGTCAGTTTCTGACCTTCACAGACACAGGCACACATAACTGTCCACACATGAGAATGAACCAGAACTGACATCAGTCTCAAGCCAGACACAAAAGCAAAGCAAAGAAGAAAAAGAAAAGTAGCAGCACCTACTTTTGCTGGAAAAAAAAAAGTATGGACTCCTTGCTCAGACAGACAAGACTGAAGGCAAAAAGATAAGTCACTGCTCTAACCCTGCACAGTGAGGCTACCCCCTGACACAGAGATTATCGTCGCATGAGAACTTGATTGAAGCCAGATGAGGCGGTACATGATTTTGATCCCAGTGTTCTGGAGGCAAAGGTGGGCAGATCGCTGAGACCAGGCCAGCCTGGTCTACAAGGTGAGTCCAGGACAGCCAAGGCTACACAGAAAAACCCTGTCCCAGAGAGAGAGAGAACCAGATTGTTCCCTTCAAGTGATGACAGCCTGCATGACCACCTTGCAGAACCAGAACTGACACAGGATCAATCAAACCTGGACGTGATTAAGGTTAACCATGATCAGTCTTCCCTGGCACCAAAGGTGGACTTAGGATCACTGAACCTATGCCCCTTCTTTCCATTGTGTCCAAATTAAAAGAGTCTTCCCTCCTCTACTTTTCACCACTCTCATCTTGAATTGGCATATATGCAAGGGTGGCCAAGCCTGTGAGGGATGCTAGAGCCAAAAGTTTTGCTCTAAAAATTCCAGTTGCGATGCCTACCATTCCAAACTAGGAGTTCCCTGCCCAGGAAGACCTTTTAATAGTCACAGAATGGCTGAGTCGTGTAGTCTGGGAAGATTTTTAAATTTTATTCTTTTTAGCTGTGTGTGTGTGTGTGTGTGTGTGTGTGTGTGTGTGTGTGTATGCACGAAAATGAGTGCAGACACTTACAGAGATCAGAGGTATCAGATCACCCTACAGCTGCAGTTACAAGCAGTTGTAAGCTCTTTGTGTGTGTGCCGGGAACTGAGCTAAAATCTTCTGCAAAAGTGGTACACATTCTTAACCCCTAAGCCATCTCTCTAGCCCCTCTGAACATTTCATATTTAAAGAATCTACCAGAATGTTTAACAAAAAGTTGTACAGTTTTAGATTTCTGCCATTTGGGGAAAAAAGCCTGGCAGGCTTTAAATTAATTTTTAAAGATTTAATTTATATGTATG